TCGACAGATACCACTGGCTCTTACCTGCCTGCGACACGGCCGACGAAATTAACAACCGTCTGGACTATTTCTGGATCCTCGACCGCTTCTATCCTGCCGAGAAAACTGGTGCTGCTGTGGACCGGACTCCTGGGGTACGCGTTCTGGTGGCACAGGTGTGGGCCACCATGTTGGACCACATCCGTATTTGTGGTGATATTTCGGGGATGCGCCAACTTGCCTATATGCTGCGCGGACGCGAAAAGCCCGATTACCAAGTGGCACCCGTTGTGGAGCCGCATCACATCGCGCATCTCGAGGAATTAATCGAGGGTGCAGGCGGCAGCTGGGACGAGTTTGCAGCGTTGGTGGTGGAGCACATCATTCTCACCTCCTCCCGCGCGGATTCGCTGGGATTTTTTGCGGCGATCCTAATCGTCTTACAGGATGCACAGTTCCGGAGAATACTCTGCGAGCCCCGTGTCTTTGTCTCTGCAGGTATTCTTGACGCCCTCGTGAACGCCGTTAGCGCTGTCAATTCCAGGGGGCACCACCAGTTTTGCACCCTCCTGGACATCGCCTTTTACCTGGTCGGAATGTGGATGGTCTCGGACATGAGTATCATGATTGCAGCTCTCGAAGCTGGCCTCCTCCGCGCAATCGTCTCCTGCAGCGTTGATTATCCCCGCATGAACAAGGTACACGGGATGCTCCAGCAACTGCCCAAGGCCACGATACACTATCATGTTCTGCGCGCAATGCGGAACAGCATGAAAGACGTCGAAGATATCGTTTCTGGCGCAGAGTTTGCGGCCTCTCCATGTGTGACGACTGGAAGAAGCTCGCGGACTTGGTCTCCGAGCGCAGTGCAATTCAGAATCGGTGTGACTCTGTCGTCCACGCATTATTGAGGGCTTGCGACAATGTCATGCTCCGTCTCTTCCCCATTTACGCTCTTCATTTTCAGCTGAAATTTTACTATAATTCAGTGTGGTGCCATCCACGAGAAAAACACATTCAGACGGTGTTCTGGGTGCCTGCGGCACTATTATTGCTCAGAGGCATGCCAACGCTCAGATTGGTATGCTGGCGGTCATCGTCAAAATTGCAGCACATTCTGCAATTGCAAAGGTATGTCTCCCATCCTCCCCTCTCTATCTCCGTCCTTCTCACCACGACACATATACAGTTCGTCTACCCACCCGCGCTCAAAACTTCATTGGCACTCTCCTTCACACAGACTACCTCGCGCAAAAGCACACCATCCTTCTCCTCCAGGTCGAATTTCTCGCCGCGCACCCGAATCAGCCCTTCTACGTCGGCTTCGACTACACCGACGGACGCGCTGTGGCGCGGGTGTACGCGTTGGAGGATTGCGGCGGCCCGTGGGGCGTTCCCCGTGATCGATGCAACAACGAACACCTGATGCGCGCGGAGCGCGGCGGGGGCGCATGGTGCTGCATCGTGTGTTCGTGAGCACGGGGGAGGCGCACTATATGCGCTGGTTCTCTCTCCGCATGACGAGTAGTGTGCTGGAGACTGGGGTGCGTCGTCTTGCCAGGGAATTGGAAGGGACTCGGATGAGTCATCTTGATGCTGTAAGGCCACGGTTCGTGCCACAGAATTGCGGCTCTGGACGCAGCGACAACGGGGAAAGTGTTAGAAACGCATTAATGTATTGATTTTTACAGTGGCTGGTGCAAATGCTGAGCTGAGGAATATTTTTTCCAGACAATGCTTGCATGCAGACTTGTGTGCCTTATCTAAAAGGAACTATGAATGAGAATTGAATTGGTGTCTAATAAATCGGCGGCCGGTATCTTGGGGAATGGTCACCCATGACTATCGTCGGCGCCGTGAAGCTGTTCACGGACGTGCTCATGCGACTTGGAAATGGACGGCGGGCGAGCTAGCAGGGGAAACAACCAGTTTCGCTACCCGCCAACATCATCGCGTGTGGAGGTGGAGTGGAATGCTCAAAAATGCCGTTTTTTTTGTGAGAGGAGAGAGGGTCAATGTAATATTTCTGAGATATTCAGACTTGGGAGGACGGAAATCGACGGTCTTGATCGGGCTCTACGTAGAGGGCTGGCGTGGTGCGGCGAAAACACTACGCAGCAGAATTGTGGTGTTGCTGATGGGTGTGATATTCGGATAGGGGTTTTCGCCAAAGTTAAGGTTATGGGGGTCAAAATGCAAACAACAGTTTCCAAACGGGGTATATCAAAATCTGATGTTTAATCCCAACTACGCAGCAGCGAATTCAAAGCCAGATTTTTTCTGCAGAAGAAGCTAGGGAATTATGTCCAAAGCAAACCAGAGCAGTTCTAAGGTGCATTCGGGGCATGTTTAAGACGGGTTTCTGCTTCTTTTGGTCTTGAAGGATTATCAGGAACGCAACTAGGTGTATCCCTGAGAACAGCGACCAGAGCACCCGATTCACGGAGACAGTGCATGAGAAGAACGCACAGTTGCGATTGTCTGGACAGCTAGAATGGGTACTAATATGACAAGTTTATGTGGGTGCAAATAGAACGAAAGTCCCAATGAGTGTCGGTTTGAGAATTACAATATCAGAAAAGCTACACGTCATCGTAATCGACCGAGTAGTGATTAATCGACCGTGTTGGGGCGTCCTAAACTGCACCAGTCTTGCCACCCTATTTATCTTGGGCTCAGTTCTGTGGGCAGACTGGTGGCTGTACACCTTTGAGTGTAGAAGTAGAAGAAAAAAAATCCAACCCAGAATCGGAAAAAAAAAGGTGTACAGCCACCAGTCTGCCCACAGAACTGAGCCCAAGATAAATATGGTGCACCAGTATTAAAGTTGATTCGGTGGATGATTTCCCGTCAATCCACGAGGGCATTTGACCGTCCTAGGGTACAAAATGTGGTCCACTCCTCTCAACATCCCAACTTGAAGTCCATATATATTTATCAAGCATTGGAACCCGGGCGTTTCTTTTTTAGTTTCAACGTGCAGTTCATTTCACCGACCAGATAAAGCGCAAATTAATTAATTCAAATACAGCATATTAACGCTGGAAGAGCGCTGTGAACTCAACTTGAACGTAACGATGATCTCCTTGGTGACCTTTGCCGAGACTCACAACACGTACAATCACTTACAGGACCTAAATTCGTGACCGCGCCTTTTTCTTTCACCACGACCTTCACCTCTTTCAACGCATAGAGGGTAAGAACCCACGCCGCTATTAACTCCTTAGACTGAGCATCGAAGCTTTCAACCATTTACATAGACCTGCCCCCCTCACGGGTGACGACACGCTTCGCCGATGGTCCATTCCGAGGACACCGCGAGCAGACCTTCGCGCTCGCATATCCGCTCCCGTATTTCTGGGCTAGATGCTCACATTCTAGCTCTCGAAGAATACCTTGTTGTTGCGCGCCGCGAACGGGAGAACCTGCAGTCGCAACTGGACGACTGCAAATATCCCATCCTCACCCTCCCCCTCGAAATAACTTGAGAAAATGCTGCCGCACAAATTCAACCAGTGGAACCACTGATTTATCTCCAGTCATTGATTCTACGCGACGAATGCAGAACTGTAGGAGGGGCGCAAAAGCTGCTGCTCGATGCGCTTACCATTCCAGCTGTCCGACATCTCACAGTTTCAGAGCGCGAGCTCGGCCCTGATTATTTGTCGACTATCACGTCCTTTATCACTCGATCCCACTGTACCCTCAAATCTCTCAACGTTGGGGTAGTCGGTCTGGATCCTCTGTCGGTAGCTGCTAGCTGATCCCGCAATGTCGCGATGCTAAGGATGGATGCGATGGCAAAAGCCAAGAATGTCTGTGTGTCTACTGACTAATCGCCAAAGCTACAGCCAAACATGTAGTGATGGGCAAGTTCGGTTCAGTTCGGTTCAAAGCCTTTTTTTTCCGAACGCTGAACCTGAACTTCGGTTCAGGTTCGGACATTTGCTGAACCTTGAACCTGAACCCGCGTTCAGGTTCGGTTCAGGTTCGAACTCGGTTCGAACCCGGATTTTTTCCCCAACCCAAAATGTCAAAATCCAAGGCAAGGAATGCAAAAAATTGGCACTGTGTTGTACGTTTACTCATCCCTGAAGGTACTTCAGACCATCCGGACCACTGGAATGATAATTCAGATATTTCCAAAGCAGATAGGCAGGTCTTATTTCAATCAAAACCCATGGTACAACACTGAATGTGACTGAATAGGTATTTGTACCCAAACTATGTTTCCAAATTGTTATACCATTGAATTTGTGAGGTGATAGCGACTCAAGTGAGCCCAGAAATCACTCAAAGAAATGGCATTTCGGTTCGGGGTTCGGTTCAGGTTCAGAAAAACAAACTTTGGCCTGAACCCTGAACCTGAACTTCGGTTCAGGTTCATGAAGTTGCTGAACCTTGAACCTGAACCTCGCGTTCAGTTCAGTTCGGTTCAAGTTCGAACCGAAAGTCTGAACCGAACTTGCCCATCACTACAAACATGCTACAACACACTACCACAATAGACCTTTGAAGGAGACATACGGTTGGTTGAAGCTGTGGCCATGAGCCTCGTCAAATTTCCCCCAACATTTATCGTTGGCCAAAAGAATTGGGGGAACCCGGGTTGTAATATTTCTTGTTCCAGTTTTGGCGCCATGTAAAGGTTCAGTGAACGGGTATATAACCCTCGTCTATTAATGGTAAATTACCCATCAGCGCTTTGCGTGAATAACACAAGATTCATGGGAGACTGAGGTTCGAATCCTCCTGAGGGCATGATGTATTTCCTTCTGTGTTTTCTTTTTCGTAGTGCCTAAAATCGATTTTCGGAGGAGCCATTATATCGTGGTTCAAATAGAGGTATCTAAGCCCACGTTGATTAATGGTAAATCACCCATGAGCGCCAAGATTCATGGGGGACGGAGGTTCGAATCCTCTCAAGGGTATCGAAGAGCTGCAAATCTTTTTTTTTTTGTCGCGTCGGGTAAAATCGATTTTTGAATCAGCCATATCCTGGTTAGAAATACTGAATATAATCCCTCGTTGATTAATGGTAAATCACCCACCGACTTTGGGTTATTCTTGAACCGCATAAGGCTCAGTGGGAGACGGAGGTTCGAATCCTCCCCAGGGCATGAATGACTCGTTGAGATCTTTTTATTTTTGCTATTATCACACACACCATCCTGCTAAATGGGCAACTTCTGAAGTGTATGCAAGTGTGCTTGTCCGCATTCAAACAAAGATGGACCTCGTTTGAATGAGTTGCTTGCACGGTCGCTGTACTTGTTTTCTACCCAGCTACATATCAAAACGGAGCGAGCTCTCGCGGATTAATCATCCACCGACAACCCCACAGGATGAGAAGCAGGATGCATTCTTGTCGTTTCGTCTAATACAAATCAAGGTTGATTTAATGCTCATCAACCATTAGAATTTAAATCTGAGGTCCTGCCACGCTCTTTGATCTATTTTTGTTGTGTCTTGTAAAGTCAAATTTTGAAGGCACTATATCTTGGTTCAAATTAGTGTATATAAGCCCCTGTTGATGAATGGTAAATCATCCACTTGCGTTTAAAGACGGCCGCGAGAGTTAGGCTCGTGAAAGAGGGAGGTTCGAATCCTCCCAGGGGCATGCGGCAGGGGAGAGCTTTTTTTTGTGCCCAACTTGACGGAGAACTCCAATAGGCATGTTCAAGTGACCCTTGCTAAAAAAAAATTATTAATGGCTGCTCGTTCGCGCGCATCCTGATATCACAGAGTGAATCCGAGTCGGGCGGGATGTTTCTTTGAGCAGAGTGAGTTTTGAAGGCCTCATGCCAAGGGTAATTGAAAAGATATAAAGCCCTCGTTGATTAAATGGTAAATCGCCCACCACCCATACAAAGGTTTGAATACTGTTGAGTGGGAGACAGAGGTTCGACTCCTCTCGACGGCATTCTTATTGTCGATTTCTTTTTTGGGCTCTACAAAGCTACTATTAATTTCCGGCGCTTCTCTCACAATTCGTGTCCCCTCTCTCATATACATAGTTAATTTTGCAATCGTTCCACCATCGGCCAAAGCGACCGACCGGCCCAGGCTCCGATCAACCTTGCATCACATCACATCACGTGGCTACCAACCAGCCTGCTTCCTGCTGCCACTCGCCGTGGTACACTGCTCTCTGGGGGCACTGTACACTCTCTCCGCTGAGATTCAAAGGGTCTGGAACTCAGGGACTTCTTTTGACTCCTCTGCTACTGCGATCTTGGGTATCGAGAGTCGAGACCACCAGCCCTTTCCCGGTCTTCCCTTGTGCTGTAGATCCGGGGAATCGAATAATACGGGCTTCTGATCCAATTCTTGCCTGGGATAAAGCTTGGGACCTCAGTGAATCACCCTACGAATATTTTGACCTCGGCCTCGGGACACGGAAGCGTCGGGATGGCGGCTGGGGACAGCGCAAAGTCGGACCAGATCACGTTCCACATCTACACCAAGCTCTTCCATGTCCTCTATGCCGCCCGCGCAGCAGAGTCAAACCCTGCGACCGCGAGGGTGGATAAGTGGGTGTTATCTCTATTGTTATATTGTCCACAAATTTTTTTCTGACTTGTCACGGGCAGTTCAACCTCGAAACGCCGCTCGCAACGGCCCCGCCGGCGGAGCTGGACGCTTATCGTGCGCTGTCCTCCGCTCCTCCGCCGCCTCCACCATTAGCGCCGGGTGATAGTGATCCAACGCCCACAAATGACGCAGCAAAGCCCTCGCGCTCCAAATCCTCCTCGCTGTCCCACCAGCGGGCGGTGGCCTCGCGCTCGTGCATGCCGTATCCCGCACGCGTGTCGAGCCCGAGCCGCGCTGGGTGCTGCTCGAGGAGTGGGTCCTGCGCTTCGCGTCGTCCCCGTCATCGTCTGCGTCCTCTGCGTCGTCATCCGCATCCTCGACGTCTAGCACCGACAACGGGGGCAGAGACGAGGTGCTCCTGCCCACGATCTACAAGAACGCGATCCCGCTGTTCCGCGCGCTGTTCGCGCTGCTGCGCATCCTCCCCGCGTGGCGCGTCGTGCGCAAGCTCGCGGGCCGCGGCGCGCGCGCGGGGGATGGGCGTCGGGATGGGGATGGGGATGGTGGGAAACGGCGGGGGGGAAGGGCATGCGCGTCGTTGTGCGGCTGCGGCCTGACGACGACGGCGGCCCAGGGTGGAGAGTAGGAGGCGGGAGGTCGCGAGGTGCGGGGCGGGGGAGACGACGCTGGAGTTTGGGGAGTCGCCTGCGCCGCAGACGGGGGCGACACCATTTCCGACGAGTACGCATGTTTTTCCGGGGATTGCGCATCCTGCTGGTGAGTTTGTTTCTCGTTTCTCTCTTCTTCCCCCTTCCTATTCGGCTCCCGCTCTTTCCATCCGTATCCGCCCATTTCATTCCTCCCTGCTATTATCATACCTTCTGTTTCCCCCTTTTTTCCCCCATTCTCTCCCTTCAGCAGTCCCTCCATTCCTCTTACTATCCTTCTCTCCTCACTACTCTTCATGCTCACCGCGTTCCCTTCGCCTTCTCGTATTGTCTCTTTCGCATCGCGCTCTCCATCTACCCTCATTCCACCCCTCCACCTCCTTCGTTTTGACTCGGTTCTCCGACACGAGCGTCTTTGTCCCCCTCTATCCTCTTCCTCGCCTCCCGCCCTCCCGCCCTCCACCTTTATACTCCCATCCTCAGCGTCTTCATCCTATCTTATCGCTCTCACATATGTGAGAGCGCGTGTCCCTTATCCTTGCATCATTGCAATTCTGCCTCCGCCGATCGAGGTTCTGCCCCTGTCGCAACGTCGATCTTTACCTCGTTTCCCTACTTCCCTCCTTCCCTTCCATTCCCATCTGCACGACACTTCTTTGCGCATCACGATTCCAATTCTCCCCTCTACCGCCTTCCGGGCCCGCACTGTCCACCCCCTGTCCCTCCCTCCTCTCCCTTCCGCCTGTTCTCATCGCTGACTCCTCCATCCCAGGCACCCTCACCCTCTCCACAACATACCTCACCACGCCCGCCTTCCCCCTCGAGTCGCTCGAGGCCCTCCTCTCCTCGCGCTTTGCCGTCCTTGACGCGCACGACACCACCACAACCGCCTTCAACACCGCCGCCGCCCCCGCGCGCCGCCCCCTCCCCTCCTTCTCTTCCTCCCCGTCGTCCCTCTCCTCGCGCGCCCGCGTGCCCTCGAGCACCTCCCCGCCGTCCCGCGCACACGCACTTACCCACAGCCGCGTCCCCTCGAACACCTCGCCCCCGCCCAGCCCCTCCGCGCGTGCCAGCTCGTTCCCGCGCGGCCTCGCCGCGCACAGCGAGCAGGCGCAGGACGACAACGCGGACGAGTTCGTGCCCACGCTCGCGCGGCGCTCGATCGCGGCGTCGGGCGGGTCGGGCTCGGGCTCGGGGTCGCCCGCGTCGTTTGGGGCGCTGCGCGGCTCGGGGGGTGCCGGTGGGGGCGTGGGATGCGCGCACGGGTGGACTCGACGGGCGGGAGCAGGCCGCCATCGTATCGCATGGGGGTGCACGTCTCGGGGTTCAGTGGGAGCGGGAATGCGGGCGGCGGGGGTAGGTTTGGGGGCAGCGGGAGCGCGGACTTGGTGGACCGGTTTGTGCTGCCGAGGAGTGGGGGGTTTATTGGGGGGGAGGGCTCGGGATTTCAGGCGGGGAGGAGAGAGAAAGGGAGGGGTCGGCGTCGTATGCGCGCGCGGGGACGCCGAGCGAGCGGGAGTGGGAGCGGGAGAGGGAGAAGGGCGTGCCGATTGGAGGCGGGCATACGTATGGCAGCGCTGGGGGATTTATTTTGTTTGATTATTTCTTTGGTAACTCCGTCTTCTGTGGTCCAAATACCGGAATGGCACGAACTGCAACTGAAGGCTATGGTTTGGAGCCCGATTATCTGATATTGATCCATCGCTGCAGTGCTCACCGAATATTCTGTTCTCCTCGACTGGCTCAGGTTGTGTTCTTTGACCTTTGTTTGCTCACCACAAGGTGCCGACGTAGTTTCTTCCTGGATAAGCACATTCCTGGATAAGCACATTCTCTGGCTTTCCGGATCGCGGCATGCGATCACCGCCCCACATCGGCGCTCCGTTTCCACCTGCTCTCGCCGCTTCCACGCCGTTCAATACCGTGCTCGTCCCACCCTTTCCCTTCCGAATGCTGGAGGTATGTTGAAATCCCGGTTGCCGCTACTCGTAATGTTTCGGAGACAACTCGGATTTTGTTGATTGCGAACGGCGCTCGATCAGATACATAGTCGCAGGACCGTCACGACCGCGTCATTTCGCACCAAGATTAAGTGTGAATACATGCCTATTTGTACCTGCGGCGCAAAATGAGTGTACCGACCATGCCCAACATCGCTCCTGCAGTCAGTGTCGCTCCGAATATCACATCTTGACGACCGCTGACCCACCCCGCCCGTGTACGATGAATTTTACGTTTCGTTTCAGACCCACCCTCTTCCTTGTCCTCGGGAACAACAACAGAGATCTCCGACGTTAAGGACGATGACGACTTGGCAACCATCGTGTAACAGCCTGTGCACATATCCTCGGTGTTTCCTTTTCTCTCCCGACCACAGCACAGATTTCTTGGGGCAAATCGACCACTTGATGTGCGGCGACGGGTGCCTTCACCGTGACCGGGGGGCCGCTATTTCTCATCAGTCGGAAGGGTAGAAAATGAGGCGCTGACATCATCGTGCTCACGCTTGGCCGTAACGTTGAAGGATCCGTGGAAATTGGTTCTGTGTCCTGGATATGCGAATTAGGTCTCTATTGTACGAATGAGAGGTGGGTGAACGAACGTTCTCAGCAGGTAATGAATTCCCGGCAAGTGAAGACTGCTCGAGCGACACAAACTCCGTCTCGGCCTCGACAGTTATGATGGGGAAATCACTTGACGCCGGTGTGCCTCTGAGCTTGAGGAGCCGTGCGTAGATCTGGTGACCTAGCGTAACCTCAGGGCTTCTCGATCTGCAATTGATGGTACGCCGGAGGAAAATGTACAAAATGATGTGGCACGCGATTGGGATATACCAGTAATCTATGGGTCCCTCGTGCGGTGGTGTTGGCGTAAATCGCACAATCTCGGCCCTACTATGCAGACGGGCCGTCCTGTAGGAAAAGATCCGGTAAATGTTCTGACCCGTTTTCCCAGGGAGAGATGTGGGTTCAAAGGTGCCGCTGGGGGTCATAACTGATGTGAGTGGCGCGTTGCAATACAGTTCATAGGCCGCTTTGTCTTTAGGGTGAAATAGCGGTATCAGAGTATAATTGTCCTTGTAGGGAAGGAGTTTGGTGGAGCGGCTGAACTGAAGCTCGCGAAAAATCTGGACCCGATAGTCCCATGCCATCGATCAGGCGGTCTAAACAAAGAATATATGTAGGACCAACCTTCCACACAGCCGCCGTATCGCTTGCGTCCTCAAGTTTGTCTGCGATCCATTCCAGAACGGGCATCGGAGGCGATAGGACCAGACGCCCCGATGTGAAATACCCAAGATGGCATGTGGGGCATTCTGTTGAGCGGATATTAATCGAGCTCAGCGGACAAGCGCCAGACGACGAACGAATGATGCCGTTACTGGCCGCGTTACGAATGTAAGGCTCTGCTGGGTCCA